GGACAGGGCACCTGGGTGGCTCAGTTGGTTAAGCATCCAACTCTTGATTTCAGCTCAGATCATGATCTCATGGTTCCTGAAATTAAGCCCCACATTGGACTCCTGCACTGATGGGGCAGAACCTGCATGGGATTCTCTCTCTCCCTCACCCTTTCGTCCTTCCCCCACTCATGTGCTCACTCTCTCTTGCTCTCTCAAAATAAATAAAATAAACATTAAAAATAAATCTTGAGGGGCACCTGTGTGGCTTAGTCAGTTGAGCATCCAACTTCAGGTCAGTTCATGATCTGGCAGTCCATGAGTCCAAGCCCTGCATTGGACTCTACACTGACATCTCAAAGCCTGAAGCCTACTTTGGACTCTCAGTCTCCCTTTCTGTCCCTCCCCTGCTCGCTCACTCGCTCTCTCTCGCTCTCTCTCAAAAATAAGCATTAAACAAAAATCTTGAGGGGCACCTGGGTGGCTCAGTCATTGAGCATCCAACTTCAGCTCAGGTCATGATCTAGTTGTGGTCTGTGAGTTCGAGCCCTGCATCGGGTTCTGTGCTGATAGCTCGGAGCCTGGAGCCTGCTTTGGATTCTGTGTCTTCCTCTCTCTCTGCCCCTCCCCTGCTTATATTCTCTCTCTCTCTCAGTCTCTGTCTCTGTCTCTATCAAAAAATAAATAGACATTAAAAATTGTTTTTAATAATAAACCTTAAAAAAAAATTAGATGAACATATGACACTGCATTTCCTGCTAATGATTCACTGAGGTTTGCAGTGATGATGAAAGTCCACAAGACCTGGTATGCTACCCCAGCCTCACTCTCCTGCACTAGCTGGAGGTACCTCCCTGGTTCTCCTGCCACAGGAAATGAGCCCAGGCCTTGCCCAGGATGTATTCAAAAAGTTTCTCACACGACAGACTCATTTTCCAGCTGGTAGAGTCTTCAACCTCACACTCACCATTTTGCCTTGCCTTTGATTACTATTGTACTGTCCTCCGCTGGGTCACTGACCCCTTTACCTGCCTCGTTATTCTGTGGCTATTGACGGGCCCCTCCTATCTCAGATATTTATTTCTGTTCTGCCTCACAGTCTCCTTTCAAGTTTCCAGCCTTGCTTCCTTTTGCCTCTCCACACCTAGTGAGACATCAGTCCTTACCCTACAGCAAAATCTCTTATTTCCAACTTGGTATTCTCATCCAATGTCCATTCATCCTCTACAGCACTGAACTTGATAGCAAGTACAAATGGCAACAATTTCAATAATCTTAAGGCTAGGGGATGCCTGGGTGGCTCAATTGGTTAAGTGTGCAACTTCAGCTCAGGTCATAATCTTATGGTTCCTGAGTTCGAGCCCTGCATCGGGCTCTGTGCTGACAGCTGAGAGCCTGAAGCCTGCTTTGGATTCTGTGTCTCCTCTCTCTCTCTCTCTCTCTCTCTCTCTCTCTCTCTCCCCAGCTTGCACTCTGTCTCTCTTTCTCTCTCAAAAAAATAAACATTTTAAAAAATTTTAAATAATAAGGTTAGCAGACCATCAGCCTTGCAAATGCATGGCATTGTTCAGTGAGGTCTGTCTGTAGGAAAAAACAGAAATGAAGTCACAGATAAGAACAATTATGGTGTGCTAAGGAGGCCGTATCCTGTTATCAGGAGCTGCTAAAGCAGCATCAGCTTTTATTTATGTTTAGTTAGTATCTTCAGTGCTCATGTTACCGTAAAGTAGATCTTGTCCCATGAGGACTTTGCATGTGGATTGGAATTGGATATAACTGAGAGGGAGGCTATTCATTTACTCACTGATTTAATAATTATTTATTGAGTACTTACTATATTTGGGGGCCAAAGGTTACAGAGATAAAGAAATGGTTTTCTCCTGGCTTTCAAGGAGCTTATGGCCAGCTGGGAATAATATAAACAATAATAATGCTATAGGCTCCTTGCATCATGAAGCACAATGAACACTAGAAAAACTGAAAAGAAAAACACTCATGTTATTTCGTTTTAGCCAAAAATCCCAGAGACTGGGCAACAGACTCATCAGAACAGGCCTCACAGAAGTTCATCAGGGTCTGAAGAAGCCGCACCCAAACTTTCTCATTGTCTACACTGCTCATGAAAATTTTCATGCCCGCGTGTCTGTAAACATCTTTACTTAGCAATTCTATCATGTACCGCTGTATTCATATATTATGTACATTATAAAGTATGACTGGGGGCGCCCGGGTGGCTTCATCAGCTGAGCATCCGACTTCGGCTCTGGTCATGCTCTCGTGGTTCATGACTTCGAGCCCCACGTCGGGTTCTGTGCTGACAGCTCGGAGCCTGGAGCCTACTTCAGATTCTGTGCCTCTCCCTCTGCTCCTCCCCTGTCTCTCTCTGTCCCTCAAAAATGAATAAATGTAGGGGCGCCTGGGTGGCTCAGTCGGTTAGGCTTCCGACTTCGGCTCAGGTCACAATCTCACAGTTCATGGGTTCGGGCCCAGCGTCGGGCTCTGTGCTGACAGTCAGCTCAGAGCCTGGAGCCTGTTTCGGATTCTGTGTCTCCCTCTCTCTCTGACCCTCCCCTTCTCACACTGTCTCTCTCTCTCTCAGAAATAAATAAAGCATTAAGGGGAAAAAAACGAATAAATGTTTAAAAATTTAAAAAAATAAAGTATGACTAAAATAGATCTTTTAAGGGATGGGTTTTAAAAAATAAATAGAATTTCTAATGTCTTCTGCTTGTGCCTTATGGCTCTCCTTCAGCACCTCCTGGGTGGACAGCTCCACTCTGACCACCAGTCAGGTCCCCAGAAAGTCCTCACTATATAGGTGGTCAAGAATCTATACTTAGTTCATCCAGACAGACACTTGGTGGATACAAGTGACAACTCCAAAAGATATCATGTGATAACCCAGACATTTCCAGAAGGATGACTGGTAACCACCGTTTGCAGTAGGCTCTATTTCCCTGTGAATATGTCGATTCAAAAGGCCAAATTAGTTCGAAGTGGCTTAGTGAGCATAGAATTAGAACAAATGGAATTGTGGTCTGTGCGGACCTGTCATCAAGCTGGAATAACTGATTGAACTGCCCTTCTCCTCTCTAGGGATATTTCTGTCTAAATAACCAGTGCTGGACCTCAAATAAATACTGACATGTTTTACTTTTAGCTTTCCTTTTTCTAGAATCATTTCAGACAACTGCCCTTCTGTTAAAACATCACCACCTCAGAAAATGGGAATGCACTTGATTGGAATGAAACTTTAAAATGTTAATTACATTCACGTCCTGGGGATTCAGCCTAAAGAGACAGAATTGCCTTGCCTCAGACTGAAGCATGGCTGAGGACTCTGATCCTTGGGGCCCCTTTGTTGTTATAGGACTCTCACCCAATTAGGATGAGCCAAATCCTGCTGGCTCTGGGGACGAGGCTTCATTCCTTCTAGAACTCTCCTTGGTGGGTGGGCTGCAACTTCTAGTTTGATTTAAGTTTTACCTTGTGAGACTTTCATTCTCATTCTGCTGGGGAAAGGTGAGCCCCCAAAGTCCTCTCAGGAGATATTCAGCCACATCTTGAGCCAGGAAGAGGATTCAGCCCTCAGATGATTGTAACTTACACAGTAATTAAGATTCTTTCTTTTCGTGTATCATTCTAACCAATAGCATACCATATTCTTCTTTCTTAAAAGGAAACTAGCCTAGTTTTTTCTCCTGCTGAAAGTTGTGATATGGCCATTAAAAATAAAAGCTCAAAACTGCACTAATACTTTTGGGACCCCTTAAATAATAGATTCAACCATCACCACCATTTTATGTTAATGAAGACATTTACAAACATATTTTGGGCTGGCTTGCTGGTTATAAATTGGCATTTACTTATCTAGATGTCACTCTATCCTAGACATCTCTATGAATGAAAACAAATAAAATCACTTAAATAAAAGGGTAATTTTAATATCTCATAATATAACAACATTATATATTTAATTTAAAATTATAGTTTATGTGGTGCCTAGGTGGCTGAGTCAGTTGAGTGTCCAACTTCGGCTCATCATGATCTCACAGTTCATGGGTTTGAGCCCCACCTCAGGCTCGCTCTCTCAGTGCAGAACCCACTCTGGATCCTCTGTCCCCCTCTCTTTCTGCACCTCCCCCACTTGCATTCTCTCTCTCTGTTCTATCTGTTCTAATGAAATGTGAGTCATGGAGTTTGGTGTTTTTATTATGTCCTGTGAACTGCTTTTCTCCTGGGGTCAGTTGCTACTATCAAGCAATGAGGGAGTGGTGTACAACCATGTCTTCACCATGAGTTCAAGGGTAGAGGCTGATGGAGAGCCCTCAGGTAGACTCACCTCAGCACCCCTCACCCTCCTCACCTGGAGTCCCCAGGAAGGAAGAGGTTGGCAGGGGGAAACATTCCCTTCCCTCAACTAGCCTCTGGAAGTTTGGAATGGGAAGAGTGGGAAAATGACTGGACTGGTCTTCTTGCCTTTTCCTTGGCCTCTGCCTCCCCCACATTGAACCCAATGTCTGAGCAGGAGCTGGTTATTCAAGGACAAATGTGGATGAGAAGTAAGAGCAGAACGCCAAAGACCCCATTCCTATTCTGTCCCTCTAAGTCTAGCCCAGATGCTTCTTGCACCAAACCCAAGCCACCAGTATGTATACACAAGTTCAAAACATTACCCCCAACCCCCACCTGGTGGTGCCAGGGGCTGCTCTCCATTTTTCCCTTTATTGGCATTTACCCGCTAAAGCCCCTCCAAGGCTGCTCTTAGTAGGAGAGCTATCAGTCACAAGTACATGTTCTTACACACATGCATAGAACTTTCAGAAGGTTGAAAATAAGTCTGTGGGAATTTTCTGCCGTGATGTTCAGCAGGATGAACTATTGCCAAGGGCTATTGCCAATGGAAATTTATTAAATTGCCAATGGAAATTTATTAAAACTTAAGAAATGGCTACATTTTCTGTTACTCCTGTGATCGAGGTATACATTACCCTGTTTTGTTTTGTTTTTTCCTTCCATAGGGAATTATTGGAATGCTGCCTCTTTCCCGAATCCATCATCCTACCTGCACTTCTCCACTTTCCAAGGGGAGACCAGCGCTGACATTTCTTTCTACTTCAAAACATTAATCCCCAGAGGAGTGTTTCTTGAAAACTTGGGCAACACAGATTTCATCAAACTGGAACTGAAATGTGAGTATAAACTCTCTGTCAACTCTCGAATGGCCTCCTCTCTTGTCACTTCAGGCCAGTCCTAACCCTGATTCTGTAATCTGATTGGATCCAAACATCAGTGGCTTTCTTTGTTCCAGAGATGATGCTGGAAGGTAGCTACACAATCGTGAGAAAGACCTTGGCCCCCCGCCCTTGGATTGCCCCCAGGAAGCAAACACATTAAGAGATTCCCAAGCAGTGCTACTCAAGGAAGGAGATGAGAGAATAAATTGTTCTCATAAAACGGGGAAGAGTACATATTCAAAGTTTCTTTAGGTGTCTGTTTCTTTTCCAAAGAGACAGGGTTAAGAAGAGACAGAGGATTGTATAAAGCGACCAGGAGTAAGAAATAAGATACTGGGAGAAATAATACAATAAGGAAAAGAGAGATAATAAAAATGAACATCTGTATGAGTTAAGGAAGTAGCGTAGACACAGGATTGTGTCACGCAAAGAAACTTTGAGTTGGAAGCTTTCTAGCAGAAGCCCCAAACCCACACACCCTCCAAAGGTTTCAGTTGTGAGTTTATTTAGCTAGGAGTACAGAAACGAACCTCATCAGGAAAGAGCAGATACTGCCTAGCTCAGCCCAGCTTGCCTTGAATCCCAAAGACCCTCACCAGGTCATGTGGTCTGAGGAATGCCATCTGTGGAAGGTAGGGGTTCACTGGATGTGAGAAGGGCAGTTCTCATTACTCCAGGGCCCTATTATCCTTGCGGCAGAAATTTGGCTTCTGGAATCTACAGTCCACAAACTTCTAGGTTGGAGGAATATTGACACACACCTAGCTCTCTTGCCAGTTCAGACCAAGAAAGTATCAGCACAAATGACAGACATGACCAGAACAGGTACACAAGTCAAAGCCCCTTGATCCCTCCACACAATCTTGGTGCCCCTCCCCACATCAAAAAGTCTCCTTTCTCGTAGTCTGTTTCCTTTATCTGAGTGCCTGTGTTACTGGGTCTGGTCTGAGAATCATCCCAAACCCATTCCCCAGAAATATCTGATGGAATATTTCTTCTCTCTTTCTGTGGTTGTAATTATGCAATGTGGTCTCTCTTTTTTAATAGTTTATTTTCAAGTTGGTTTCCATATAACACCCAGTGCTCATCCCCACAAATGCCTTCCTCCATGCCCATTACCCCCCTTCCCCTCTCCCCCACCCCCATCAGCCCTCAGTTTGTTTTCAGCATTCAAGAGTCTCTCATGGTTTGCCAATGTGGTCTTTTAAAAATGGAATCTCAGGCAACGTTTTTCTGCTGTAACCCTATGGGATTATTTTTGTAAAATAGTGGGCTGTGATTAGCAGACTTTGGAGTTCTTATTCTCGGGTCAAAATCCAAGTCCTTGGATAACTTACTTCATCTCTTTGAATCACAATTTCCTGATCTGTAAAAAGGGGGTGGTAGTTTGTGGGGCCATTATGATAATAGAATATGGATACTCATGAAGCATTTACTTCAACATCTAGAAGGTGTCAGTATCATATTCCTCAAGATGTTCATTATAAATCTAATCTGAGCCAGATCTGATGGAAAGAGAAGACTGAGAATATTCTAGCCCTGGAATTAAAAAGTAAATAAATAGTCAGAGGCACGTGGCTGACTCAGTAGAGCATGCAACTCTTGATCTTAGGATTATAGGTTCAAATCCCACATTGGGTGTAAAGATTATATAAATAAAATCTTTTTAAATAGTAAATAATCGTCCTCTCTTTAGAATTATTTTAAAGGGATGTTTCACTTTGCACAGTGAAAATTAATGGGATCAAACTATTTTCCGACTTCCACATCAGTTGGATTGTATTTTAGAAATACCTCATGGCAAAAGAGAAAATTGACAATCCCTATTTGAGGACTTCTGTACACTTCTGTAGAAAGACTTAGATTCACCTCGTCCTTGTTTTGCATCCCCATGTCTTGTAAGCCTGCGCCTGGGTTGAAAAGAAGAGAAGACGAAGTATAGACAGTGTTTCTATTTAGCAAACGCATCGTAGAATTTCATTTAGTTCTAAGGATGAAAAATCTAGAGATGTTCTCAAAGTTACCCCAGTCTTTCCACAATATGGAGACTCTGTGGGAGAGGGTGAATTATAGCCTCATTTTGCCATAAAATTCTTTTTAGTACTAGTGTTTCCTTGCAGTAAGGAAGGGTAGGGACATTCAGACTAGAGGCTGGTCTCTTGTTAGAGGACTCTTGTTAGAGCTTCTAGCAATTACTAAGGGTGGAAGTAAGATTGCCCAATGGCAGAGATACCCAATGCGCATCACTATAGAGCCTCTCCATTGAGGTGGAAAGGAATCTATGGGAGAAAAAAGACAGGTTTCTGTTTTAGAGAAAACAACTGCTTCAAAGCAAACAAGAAGTGATGCTTTCATGAAGAACATGGGAAAAAAAAAAAAAAAAAAAAAAAACGTGGAGGCTCGCTGTTGCCCCATTTATTACATCGCTCCAGACTGTTCTCTGCAGGATGCATGGGCAGTGGGTGGAGGTGGAGCATTCTCCCAGACACGTCTCTTCCTTGCCCGATGAGGGGCTCTGCAAACCTAATTGTCCCAGGCAATGGCTGGCTGCCTGAAGAAGCTCAGGAAAGATAGTTCCTGAAGTCGCTCTTTTAAATACTTTCTCTGCTGTTTTTTCCCCATTTAACTTGGTAAGCTTTCTGATCCCTTTCTGAAAGCTTGGTAAGCTTTCTGATAGGAATTCAAATTTTGTTTCTCTGTTTGTGTCTCCAAGGAATTTTGTCACAGTTCATGCCTACACAGTTCATGCCTTTCAGAATAACATTTCTGTTAATTAACTACATTGTGCCCTCCCGTTAGGGGTAGAAGATTCTTGACTCTAAGAACAGTGAATCAGTTACACTAAGTTAATGAGATACCATCAACATCTTACTGTGCAAGTAAAAAAACATACATGACAAATTAAACTGATGTTACTCATTAGCATACTTTACAGGTAAAATTTTAAGACTGTATTTCACTTACTCTCTATATTTATTCACTCACTCGGTGAGTGTTTATTGAGTACCTACAATGTCCCAGATGCTATGCTAGGTGCCAAGGGAACATAGTCAAATTAAGCATGGTTTCTTTCCCTCAGAGGGAAATCAGAGTTCTTTCTGTTTGTTTTGGAAATTAGACAAGTAAATCAGTAGTTACAATACTAATAAAAATAGCTCAACTTAATTCACTCACAATGTCTCAGGCACTTTTCCATGGATTTTAGGTAAATCATCTCACTTACTTTCCTAATGAACCTTTGAAATGGGCAGTGTCATTAACATTTCTAACTTACAGATGAGGAAACTGAGGCATGGGGCAAGTAAGTTGCCAAGGTCCCACAGCTAGGAAGTGGCAGAGCTGGTGCTTGACCCTAGACATTTTTTTGTGTGTCCCAGAATCATTGCTGTTAACACCAAATCTCACCAGCTCCCAGAACACAATGAGTGGCTGAGAGCTCCTGACTGGAGGACAGGAGTATTTCCAGGGAGTCATGCTTTAATTAAGTTTTGATGGATGAGCAGGAACCAGTAAGGTGAAGAGCAGGGGGCGGGGAGGGGGGATGAATGGGGTTCAAAAAGGAAAACGCAGGAGGAGGAGTACACCAGTGAGTGAGGGTGTATGGGACAGAACCCAAGGACTCACAAAGGCATGGCTACATCAGGGAGCCTGTGTCTGGGAACAGAGAGCTGGAGCCAGAGGGGCCAGCATGGCAGAGCACTCTATGTGCTCCAGGCTCAGGGCAGATGTGCCTTAACTTGACCCTGACAGTTACGGTGAGCAGGGGCATAACACAGTCAGATTTGCATTCACCAGAAATTAGATGGAAAGGCAGACGTGAAATGATGGGGGGGGGGGGGGTGCTATGTTAAGATGGAGGCAGGTTGAATGTAAGAAGAGAGACATCAACAAAAGGGTAGAGATGTGAGAGACCCTTAGGAGATAGGTCCCACCAATTTTTTTTTTTAATGTTTTATTTATTTCTAGGAGACAGAGAGACAGACAGCATGAGCAGGGGAGGGTCAGAGAGAGAGGGAGTCACAGACTGAAACAGGCTCCAGGCTCTGAGCTGGCAGTCAGCACAGAGCCCGACGCGGGGCTCGAACCCACGAACCGCGAGATCATGACCTAAGCGAAAGTCAGACGCTTAACCGACTAAGCCACCCAGGCGCCCCAGGTCCCACCAATTTTAACAAAATGTCTTAAAGTAGAAAGAAAGGTTCTAGAATGAAATCAGTATTTCCAGATCTGATGATTGTACATGTGGAGCACTTTTACTGAGAAATATAGCATTCAAGGGCAAAATGCAAACTGCATTTGGATATTTTGAGTTTGCACGTCTGCAGGATATAATAGTATCTATCCAGGTGGACACATCTAAAGGGGACTATATATACAAGTTTGGGTCCCAAAAGAGAGGTTGGAGTCAGAAATAGTTTGAGAGTCATCATCACTAAAAGAACCATCAGGAAATAAGTATTTGGTGCCTTCAGCATGAATGAGATTTCCCAGGACAAATGTGTAATTTGTCCCTGTCTGAATCAGAAATGACTTTGTGTTTGTTGTTTTGTTTGTTAGTTGGTTGGTTAGTATTTTTTAGATGGCCGAGGAATATTGCTCTGAAAATATTCACTAACAGCCATGGATATATCCATGTATTTTTTTCAGAGTTACCCCTGGGAAGCTACTTGACTTGTCTAGATCCCTTTTCTGGCTAAGATAGTGACCATGACCATGGTTGCATCGTCAGGCCACCAAGAACTGATCACCTGCCAGGTCAGAGGCAGTGGGTGGACCCTGCAGAGTCTACAGTGAAGACAAGGGAACCCAACATCCTCACCTGGTGAAGGAGACAAACCCATTAATAACAGCAAAGCAATATGACCTTTGTTGAAAGTTTCTTAAGTGCCAGGCACTGTTCTAAGGCTTTTATAGATATTAGAAGTTTTAGGCTTTATAACAAGTTTTATCCACAT